AACTAGAAACAATCACTTTTAACATAGTGATATTCCTCTGGATTTGTGTGTTTGACCTTCTTTATGTATATATGTGTGTATGTACATACACCTCAAGGAACAGGAAAAGATATTTTTTAGTTGAAAACAGGGTCATGCTAATCCATTGTGAATGTCTTACCATGTCAATAAATATACCCTACATTTTCTTTCCTCACAGCTGCATATTTTCTTCCATTACATAGATTACCATAATTAATTTAGCCAACCCCCCATTTAGGTTGCTTCTGGTTTTTCAGTTTAATATATACTGGCCAATTAACATCCTTCAATAATATACATTTTTATACTATTCCAATTATTTATCTCATAAAATAGTCATTTAATTTTATATTTCAGATATAATCTGGAGTAATCTATCATCTTTTGTGATAAAAACTATAGATTTTTTTAGTTCCAAAAAAAAAAAAAAACTATATAGTAAAATGCACTGTATTTTTGGCAATCCAAAGTTTTCCAAAATATTTTCCTTGGAGCCCAAGATTGCCTCCAGTGGAGCTTTCCCTGCTGTTCCTTTTTTAATCTGTTTTCTTGTAAGGGGGTCATTTGTTGAAAAAAGAACAGAAAAGGGAAGAAAAGATTTTACTATTTAAAACAAAATGAAACAAAACCATGATTTAAACCACTGAACTAGTCCCTGCCTGAGATGTGAGGCTAAGTTTCATGGTTAATGGCAGAGATGTGGCCAGATTCTGTATTTCCTGACTCCTAAGAGGCTTGGAATAAGTTTAGCCTATAGAATTAAAATAAAACATTCTAACCCAGTATCTGAATTGCTTACTTTGATTATATTTGCAATATGTCCTTTATTTATATGTTATCTTTTTTATTTCCACTTTGACAATTGGAATTAAAACATTTTAGAAGACACTAATCATCATCTTAACCAGTAATTAGCATTGATGAGTAGAAGAAAATTTAAGACAGCTGCCAAGTTGACCACTAAAGTGAGATATGATTTGCCAGTATTTGTCATCTGTGGGACTTTATAATTATAATAATAGCAGTGTAGTTACACTGTGATAGAAAGTTGACAGTTAACTTTTTCCACTTATCAAACTTAAGAACAATTCTAAAAGTTTCCAGTTTTTAGTTTCCAGGTAATTTATCATTCAGATGATTAAAAAGCTATTTTGGACCACATTTATGAACAATAATAAAATTACATATGGATGACATTAACACAGTATTCATTCTTTTTGAATTTCCAGGGAAAGACTACCATTATCCTAAGGTGTCTTGACAGGTAAGTATTATGTTAACCTTTAGACTGCATTTATGCCTATTCTAATTGTATAGGGCAAGTTAGATTCTAAAAGACACAGGGAGCGAGAACAATTTTGAAACCCAAACAAAATATTTAATTCTCAGTGCATCCTTAGTATAACGTGTAGGAACTCTCTTAAAGATAAAACTAACAATAAGCTGAAAAATTATGATCTGTGGGATTAATACCAAACTTCCTTTATTTGAGGGAGAAATGTTACATAATTACCCAGCCTATAGAAGCACTTAGCTTCTTTTTGGATATGCTACTCTGGTATCTAAATTGTTTTTATTCTCCCTAATCAATGATCACTTGAATATTAATTATAACCCTTAAGTTTCTCAGGAGTACATTTTTGAAGCCCACGCTGGTCTTCTAATTCTACATTTCACTATTTGCATAGTTTTATATAATTCCTAACTTTCTGTATTGTTGAAGCATACCATCAGCTAAAGATTTAGATTATTATTGGTAGAGGTTGCAGGAAGTTGATAATGAAAGTCTTCAATCAATTTTGGAAGATATTTCTCTGGTCCCTTCATTCTAATGCATATTTCTTATTTAACTTTGCCAAAAACCTAACAAGAAATGGAATTTGGTTGACTCAGCGCCTATGGCTCAACTGGCTAAGTATACCTGAGCTGGTGGGTTCGAATCCGGCCCGGACCCACCGAACAACAATGACGGCTGCAACCAAAAAATAGCTGGACGTTGTGGGGGGTGCCTGTAGTCCCAGCTACTTGGGAGGCTGAGGCAGGAGAATGGCTTGAGCCCAGGAGTAGGAGGTTGCTGTGAGTTGTGATGCCACGACACTCTATCCAGGGTGACAGCTTGAGGCTCTGTCTCCAAAACAAAAAAAAGAGATGGAATTTGGTCTAATGGTCACATTAAAGAAACATCATTTATTTGAGAAATACTATTAAAGAAAACAATAGAATCTTGGTTTTGTGTAATTCCTTTCACCAACAAAATTGTTACTTTGAAGAACTATCCACAGTAATCATTTGTTGATTTAAAAAACTTGTTGATGCAATTTATTTGTTTGCTAAATGATGCCCATGCTTGAGTGTAATTTAAGATTAGAGAACTGCATTAACATCTTGCATTGATCTCCCCATTAAATAAACTGACCATTAGGTTCCCAGCTCCCTGGGTCAAAGCTGAGCATCAACCCCATGCCATTGCTTCCCACGTGGCCTGGATGTGGGGAGCTTGTGCCTCAGTGTGACTGTCAGCACTGCCGCCCCTACTGCCTTCTTCCCTTGCTCTTACATTGCCTTTAGAGGAGGTACTGCATTTACAAGTGCCATTATTTACCTTTGCAGCTGCCACTAAAATCTACTAAAATAGTTTTTTGAAGGCATATCATTTTTATTATTTTACCTCAGTGCTACTATGCAAGGTAACTTCTAACTAATAAAGTTTTTAAGAGGAAGAAAAAATGATTCAGGTAAGATGATAGCATAAAAAACCAATACCACCCACAATGGTAATATGTGTGTACTATCTGTCTTTGTTGTACAGAGATGAGCCACCAAAACCAACCTTAGCTCTGGAATATACATATGGAAGAAGAGCAAAAGGACATAACACAGTAAGTGTCTCTTTAAGCAGGTGATGTTGCTATGCCTGGAGATGGGGAAGTAGTGATGCTGACTTTGGGTAGCATTTTCCATCTTATCTGCCTTCAATAAACATATCCAGTTGTGCACGTCATAGCTGTGTACTGTCAAATTCAAATGCAATTCAGCAGATAATGAAGACAATCCAAACTGTGAAAAAATATTTTAGCCTTCTCACTTGTTATATCTTAAAAAGCGGGAATAAGATTCCTTTTCAACTTTATTGTACAGTTTTTGAGAATGATGTTGTAAGGTACTTCCTGTCTTTCCTTAAATTTTTTAAAAATATGGATTTCACCTGTGAAATATTTATGAAAATATACTGTTTAAAATCTTAATTATTAGCATTTTCAAATACATCTTGACATTGGTAGTACTGAGACCACAGATCTTATTTGATAATAAGCCTATTTTCATTCATTTTGGTGTCTCTTCAGAGGAAGGTTTTAAGCTGTTGAGGATAAAGGGAGAATTTATAGTGTATATAAGCAGGGGGTGAATTCCTAAATAGAAGCTTTTTGGAGTTTTTACATGAAAAGAGGTGATTTCGTAAATAAAGTTTGATCTGTGGAAGAACAATCTAGAACATGGTGTCCTACTATTTCCTTGACAAAGACAAATTTTTATACATTGATCTAGTTCAAATGTTTGCTCATTAGACAAGGTATAAAGAGTTGAATCTGCCTGTTGTTGCTTCCTGGATTTGCCAATGAAATTTGGTTATTAAAACTGTGAAATTAAAAAGAAAAGAAAAAGCATATTTTGAGATGCAGGAGAACTTCATTTTGATGACTCACATGAATTTTGACATGACCTATAATCCTGGAAATACAACTATACTTTTCTTTGGTAACTATTAGCAGCTTTCTTAACTTTAACTATTGAAAAGAGCTTTAAAATCTTCCTTTCATCAAATTGTAAATTGAGGGAAATAGGAAAAATTATTTTTCCTATAACACTAATGATTTGATATCAACAGCAAAACAATTGTAAAGATTAAGAGAATTCATTGAAATGCAAAATAATTATATATTCATTAAAAATTTGCCTTAAGAGCAACCTGTCTCTTCTTCCAGGTTCATGGTAGCAAATATATAAAGACCCAGGTGATTCTTTTTCACCTATTTTTTCCTCTAAACTTTGTACTATCAAATAGGGTGTTTTCATATTCATTCTAAAAGCTTCATGTCTTTCTCAAAGTTACTATCTCCTAAGAATTCTAGATAGAAGCACTTTGTTCCTCACACAATTTTGGTGGCTTGAACAAGGATCAGCCTCAGGGCAGAAGCACAAATGCCATTAGCTAGCAGTTTGAGAAAGTTCTCATGGAATAGATTTCTGAACTTCTTGGCTGCCTAAACCTGTCAATCCCCTATTATTAATATTTTCAGAGTCCTTTAAAAAGAGAAACAGTTGTTCAGTCTCTTGTTCCTCCACATTCCAGTTGTTATTGCCCGTGGTAGCCTGTCATGTTCCCCATGAGATCAGACCCAAATTATCTGCTTGTACCTTTGCCGGGTAATCCTGATCCGCAGCCGGGACTGCGCCTGCTCATGCGCTTTCCTGTCCTCCTAAATCAGGATATTTTCCAATTCAACTGTTTTATCTATCTAAAATTGAAAATGTTTTCCAAAAAAAAATACCTAAGTGTTCAATTGGTTAAATTTTATTTAAAATTTGCATGAGTGTGTATACTACATTTGATATTTTAAAAATTGAGGCACTGTTTCTGTCTTCTCTTAAGGTATTACTAGAATTAGGGCATTTATGTACACATGTAGACAATATATCCATAATGCCTCATCTTTCTGCTTTGGAATAGGTTCTTTGGTACTTTTTTTTTCTTTGAGACAGAGTCTCAGTTTATCGCCTTCAGTAGAGTGCCCTGGTGTCACAGCTCACAGCAACCTCCACCTCCTGGGCTTAGGCAATTCTCCTGCCTCAGCCTCCCGAGTAGCTGGGACTACAGGTGCCCACTAGAACACCCAGCTATTTTTTTGTTGCAGTTTGGTCGGGGCCGGGTTTAAACGCGCCACCCTTAGTATATGGTGCTGGCGTCCTACTCACTGAGCTACAGGCACCACCCAGTTCTTTGGTACATTTTGACCTATGAGAGAGAAAGTAGAAATTTTTGACTGCCAAATTGATTGAGGACTGCCATATTTTATATCTATAATTATTACTGGCAGGTGCTAGGGATATGTAAGAAGTACTTAAAATTCAAAAAAAAATTTTAATATAAAATAACTTGTTTTTTCAGCCAAAAGATATTGCTCATTTTTGGGAATTGGGTGGAGGAACTTCTTTATTGGACTTGATCAGCATACCCATCACAAGTGATGCCTTACGGTAAGCTCCAAAAAGAATTTAAGTACACAGTAGGGTCAGCAGGAAGAATATGAGTAGGATTTTGTGAGTCAGAAATTTGGTGAGAAAGTTTTATGTTGCTGAAGGCTTCTGCCCACTTCCTTTGTAAGTTCTTAAATTGTAATGCTTTCAGAAAGGTTTGAAAAGGACGAAGATTCTGGCCTGTTCCCAAGTGAGATAGCTGGCATTCCCACTAGTAATATATTTTGCAAGCCTGCAAACAAACAAAAAGAATATGTCAAATAATATTTAGACAATAAATTCATTTGGCAAAAACGTATTTGAAAAGCTCAACTCTTTCTAGTAGCCATCTCAGTGTGAGTTAATTCAGCTCTGAGTTTTTTCTTCAGCTGGTATTAAAAGTCTGTCACTGAATTTAAGGTTAATTAGTATTGTTGAAAGTATATGCAAAGGAAAACTGTGTTGGAGGGGAGAGAAAGTCTCTCCATTTGCTGACCTTAAAGAAATAGAACCTACGGGGGAAACCTCAAAACCCATGAGTAGCATTTTCCTGACAATAACTCCCACATGGTGACTAGATGATAATGTGGAAAATTGTGACATTTCTCACAGTGTTTCTGGAAACTGATCTTAGCCAAGAAAAACAAACATTTTTAAATCTGAAATATCTTATCCTGGTCAGAGTTTAACACAAACCATTGCTGCTGCCTGGATCAAGAACAAAGGGCTTGGCAATTATTTGTTACATTTTGGCCATTAAGATCCTTGGAATGGGAAATTATTTCTTGTTGACAGGACAGTTGTTTTTCCAGAACTGGCTTGAAGCAGGTAATGCTGGCTTTGTCTAGTGATTTCTTTTTTCTATTCATTTTAGTGAAATATAATTTATTTCCTTCCTTCCTTCCTTCCCTCCTTCCCTCCTTCCTTTCTTTCTTTCTTTCCTTTCTCTTTCTCTCTCTTTATGTTTCTCTCTCCCTCTCCCTCTCTTTTCCCTTCCCTTCCCTTCTCTTTCCTTTCTTTTCCTTCTTTTTTTTCTGTTGCCCAGGCTGGAGTGCCATGGTATCAGCCTAGTTTAGAGCAACCTCAAACTCCTGGGTTCAAGTAATCCTCCCACCTCAGGCTCCTGAGTAGCTGTTTCTATTTTTAGTAGAGGTGGAGTTTCAGTCTTGCTCAGGCTGGTCTCAAACTCCTGAGTTCAGGGGATCCTCTCACCTCGGCTTCCCAGAATGCTAGGATTACAGGCCTGAGCCACTGTGCCTGGCCTAATTTACTTTCTTTTGCTTATTACAAAAGTGATAAGTACTCATATAGAAAACTAGGGAAAATTCAGAAAGAATTACTTTCTGAAAGAAAGTAAAAGCAACTAGAATCACATAAGAAATAACCACTGTTAATATGTTGAGTTATTTCTTTCAATCTTTTCAGTGTTTGTATGTATACTTTGTATAGACTTGAGATTTATAAATCTATACATTATATATACATCATATATATTATGTGTATAATATATATAATATATATGTGGGTATGTTTAAATTTGCTTTTTCACTTTTAAGCACCTTTTTCCTAGGATATAATTTTTTAGTAACATGAATTTTTTTTCATTTATCAGCCACAGTGATTTATTGAGTGCTTTGATAATAATACAAGTGTACATCAACTGATGCACAGTCAAAAGTGGCAGGTCCCTAAGAAATTTACACGCACTTTAAGGAAATCAAAATACATATTATTTTGTTCAATCCAACAGTCTTCTGCAAGGGGGACAGAAGGCTCGTGATAAACAGAGTCTCAGTAATACACAGTGATTCTGACTGAAGCTTTTATACAAAAACTTGTTCCCAGTAGCATGCACCCACCAATAAAGACTCCAGTACAAAGAACTAACCCCAGCACTACATTTAAGTAGAAACGATATATAACTCGGAATCTGTATTTTCCCAAAGATCACATAAAAGGAAAAAAAATCAAAATAAAACAAACAACCAAAACCAAAACCACACAGTAATATAAAGCTTTGTAAGAAAGCTCTTACTATTACAGATCCAACATTGTTTGCACTGAAAACAGAGTTCCCATCCACGATGAGGTGGGGGGAAAAAAATCCCAAATCTTTTAAGTTAGTAGAAACCAAAAAGGGAATACAATGAGAAAAGAGAGAGAGAGATGTGGGGAGAGGGAGGGGGGGAGGGAAAGGAGAGGGAGAGAGAGAGGTGGAGAGAGGGAGAGAGGAGGAAAGAGGAGGAGAGAGGGGGAGAGAGGGAGAGAAAGGAAGAGAGAGGGAAGAAGCAGTGGGAAGGAGGGATGGATGACATGCCTTCACAAAATGGTTCCAAATTTAATAAAAATAGGATAATAAGAACCAATGTCTGGAGGAGTGGGCAGGGCTACTGATGCACTTGGTGAATGTGCTTGCACACGGCCAGTACGGGCACAGGCAGCAGGCCCCTATGTGGCGTACTGCTTGGTCCACTGCCTGGCCATCTGGTCATGTTCTGCTCTGTTGGTCATGTACTGTGTGGCAATGCTGCCCACCAAAGGGTCAGCATGGTTGCAATCTGTAAGGGAGCAGATAGAGAGGAGAACCTTAGAAATGGTTAGGGCTGGACTTCAGTTGTCATTTAGGATGTCTAGATAGATCATGCCTTGGCTGTTAATATTACAGTGATGGATTCTTGTTTGGAAGGTAACCTTAGGGGGCTTAAATGGATAGTCTGGTGAAAAGGTAATGTCAAGAAAGAACACCCCTCCTTCACAGACAGATCCTGGGGGGTCTCAATATAGTTGACCTCCATTCATAAATGTCGTTTCCTTTGGGTCCAGCACTACAGTTGGGAGGAGGATCCGGTGTAATTTCTGCAAGTTCCTTCTGAATCCTTTCAGCACTAGTTGACAATTTAGCAGCAGTTTTGCTGGATAGTTTTCCCTCCTTTTTCTTGGGCTGAACTTGCTCTCTTTCTGGTTCTTGCTGAACACTTTCACGTTGGTCTCCATGGGAACTTCTTCCACTAGTGCTCGGACTGTCATCAACTCTTTGTGCCTCAGTGGACACTTTAGATCCCTCAGTACTTCTGCTGCCACTGCCCCCGGCTGTTCCAGCTCTGGCTCTGGAGGCTGCTGCCCATAGCTGTCACTGTGGTTGCCCCTGGTGAAACCACCACCTCCAGCAGCAGTTGCCGCCCAGCCATCAGAAACATGAAATTTTATAGTATATAGTTTTTTATTTGTTTCTCTTTATTGGAGACAAAGAAGCAAAGCTTCCTAGGAATTAGGATAGTTTACAGTGGTGTGTGAGCTGCCAGTTAGGCTGGCCAGATGTTGAAAGGGTAAAAATGCAGAGGCCAACTCATACCTGGGTTGAGGAGGTGAATTGCCTCCTCTTCTCCCTGGACTTAAATTACCTCACTCTCCTCATCTAGGCCCAAGAGGGTTTCAGCAAAAGCCGAATCTTTCCAACACTTCTTTAATACCTGGGGTCCTGGTGTTCCCTTCCCAGGAGTACTAGGACAGCTGGTGTCTGCTTTACAAAAAAGGAATTGTCGGGGTTATAATGAACAGAGGGAAACAGCCAGAGACTGGATCCAAAGTAGGTTGCCGAGTGCTTAAAGAATTCACAGAAAACATTTCACCTTATCACCTTCGGTAGAGTGCTGTGATGTCATAGCCCACAGCAACCTCCAACTGCTGGGCTGAGGCAAGAGAATTGCCTCACAGCTGTTGCTCACAGCTCACAGCAACCTCCAACTCCTGGGCTTATGCGATTTTCTTGCCTCAACCTCCCAAGTAGCTGGGACTACAGGCGCCGGCCACATGACACCTGGCTATTTTTTTGTTGCAGGTTAGCCAGGGCTGGGTTCAAACCCACCACCCTGAGTAATCTGAGTGTTTTTTGACTAGGATTAATTTGACACATAATTTCCTTGTGTTGTACAAAGCCTCCCAGTATTATTGCCAAATGCTATTAGATACTGTTTATCTTTGAAGTAACTATTTCTTGAATTATAGATACATTGAACCTTTCCATAGACTTTAGATACTTTGTAATAGAGTATTTTCTGTGACCTGATTCCCTGTTTTAAGGGTTTATTTAAAAAACAATTTTTGGCTCGGTGCCTGTGGCTCAAGTGGCTAAGGTGCAAGCCACATACACCTAAGGTGGCGGGTTCGAATCCAGCCTGGGCCCGCCAAACAACAATGACGGCTGCAACCCAAAAATTGGGCATTGTGGTGGGCACCTGTGGTCCCAGCTACTTGGGAGGCGGAGACAGAAGACTCACTTGAGCCCAGGAGTTGGAGGTTGCTGT